CCTAAAGTAGTGAATACACTTGTGCTTACCTGTTCGGTTGGTATAGCAAAGGCAATTCGCCCAAAAGCGGTACCACGTTCAATCTTTGCATCGATTTTGCACCACTCCAATGAGCACTCAAAGTAAATTGGATTGTTATAATGAACGCTTGACAAAGCATGTTTTTCAAATGATTATAGCGCACATTTGGATGAAGTTTGAATGAAATGAGTTCTTGTACGATTGAATTAGTTTCAGGTTACTCTATGATTTCAGCATCAAATAATCGAGATATCGATGATTGATCAGAATGAAATGAATAATCTCACCTGATCATCGCCATACGAAAGTAAACAGTGGCTTTCATCACGTGAGAGTATTTGCATCCCTAGTATTTCACTCCAATAATCTGAAACTTTCTAGTACCTCGCTTCAGTGAAATTTTTTCGTTGTTTTATGCGAGAAATAAACAACTGAACTCTATTTGGAGTGCACGAAATCCTATTTTCTCAGCGGTCAATCACACGCTTATTCGATGCAGTTCAAGAAAATAGATTTGTTGACGAAATATTTTAATTTCAGTTCGGTGAACAATTCATAATCAATGAATTGAACAATCGAAATTTAGAATATGACACAAACCGACTGTAGCGTTTAGATTCGGAGTGTTCAATGCCAGTTTGTAAACTGGATCAACTCTGCGATGACCATCTTTAATAAAGAAACAGTGTCCATCGGGATCTGCCAATTGCAGTAATTCATTTGATACCATTTTCGAATTCTTTTCACTTTGGCATCTTTTGAACACATCTGATGATTGAATATATATTCCCTTAATTGATATCGAAGAATTTATTTGCGTTTCTGTTACTTTTATTCTTAATCATTACAAATATCAACATTACTGAAGATAAGATATTGTTGTGGTGCGATTGAAACTATTACTGTGTTCATTGAAAGAAATTCACCTTAACAAAACTGATTTTCCACTGAAATCCAATGAGAAGAATGATACAATCACAGCTCTTAATACTACATTACCATACCAGTTGAGTGACACAACATATTGTTGTTTGTTTTTGCTAGAGACCACAAATGTGAAATTCATTCAACCACGTAGACTTATGTCTAAGTTGAAATGACTCGATGAAATTGACAGGATGGATGAAACGGTAAGATGTTGTTTTCGAAGAAACCTTAAAGTCATTTCCGAGTTTATACGATCCAATCGGATAATTGTAGGTTAATTCGATGACGAAGTGAGTGTCTTCTTCGCCGTAACCAACCATAGTTTTACTCCATTTACCGTCATAAGGTCTGAATGAGTGAGCGGTTAGATGGTCAGTTCCACGATAACACATTCTCGAATTATCAATACAGTTGTCAACGAATCGATATGAACTGATGAATAATAGTATTTTTAACATGAAGACATAAGATTCGAATGAGCAAAAACAAAATTTGGCATTGAACGTAACAAATTCGGAAATCGAAGTCCTTTTCAGGAGGGTTTTGGCTTGAAAAATGATGAATGAAAGAGAAAGTAACACACCCATTACAAGTTGCCTTACAGCCCTCTTCGAATTCTTCGTGACGAAGTACCTGTAAGATGAAATTGTCGCTAAATTCATCCGACAACAGTATCATGATATTCACTGTGGCGTTCGCACACTGTTCCATAGAAAAAAACTCGAGCTGACTTCATTTGAATGAGAAAATAGTTTTAAGATGGTCAACAAACTGACGTCTCTAGCCGAATCTATCGGACACTGACCTTCATTCCAAGTGTTTTGATGAAAAATTCATAAGCACTGTTACGATTCCCAATTTTGAACACATAATGGAGAGCACGTGCCATCTCAGAAGACTCGGTTCTCGCGATCTCTGAAGTTCGATCGGTCATCTATTAAGAGTGTATAAATGGTTCATACGATCGAATTCGCGAGCAATGACTGTAATCAGTGGGCAATGGCGCGCTATTCGCTATATCTCTGATGGCGTAGGTACTTTTTTTCGGTAGCGCGATAGCTCGCGACTCTTCGCATGTAGTGGAAATTTGTAGCGATACGCTCCGTTACAATAATTTCATAATGCCATAATTACTTACGCTATTTTCTTACGTTGATGATCGTCTAATTTTTCTGAAACTTCCGCCAACTCGCTACTTTTCGTCAGCAAGGGAATGTTTATTTTCCTCAACATCCAGGCATTTAGAATTGCGCTCATGCTCTGACAAGTGCTAAATCCGAATTTATCGTATTCATACTCATCCTAACTGGTCGAAGTTGAATTTCTAATCATATTTCAAAAACTTGCTATAAATGCACACTAGCATTCCGCCTGACTGTGAGCTCACTAAATCATACTATTTCAAATAGGTGACGTGACGGCGCAATGACGTTTTCTTCATTTCCTTTCTCATTAATGAGTAATATAAGATGGGTTAAACCAGTGGTTCTCACGTTCGGGTGCTCCATTACCCTTTTGATGATTTGGCAGGCCACCGTTACCCCATTCCCTTGACACAAGAACTTCATGATGGTATTCGACATGGCTAGGTCTTCTCTTAGTCCGTTTAGACCGTTGTGTT